CGTTTAACCATTATTGATTGTCGCGTTTTTATGGCCCAGGTTTTTTCAAGTGTTGGAATACTTTAGGTTGCTTGGACATCAACGCATCTGTTAAAGGAGCTCGTTTTGTACGTTTCTGTGACGCGTTCAATATTCCTATTGTAACGTTCGTCGATGTCCCTGGTTTCCTACCAGGTCCTACATTATTCTCGATGTCTTTTCAAACACTAGTTCCTAGCTCCACGCTGTAGTTTTTTGCGTTTATAATAAGTGAATTCTTTCTTTCAGGAACTGCACAGGAATATGGTGGTATCATCCGTCACGGTGCGAAGTTTATTTACGCTTATGCCGAGGCTACAGTTCCTAAAATTACTGTTATCACTCGAAAGGTTTGTTGCAAAGTTTACGTTGTCCGTGGCGCATTGGGCTTTTTTTTAAAAGACGAAAATCATTTTACAAGATTTTAAGGCATTTGGTGGTGCGTACGATGTCATGTCATCAAAGCATCTTAGAGGCGATATCAATTATGCTTGGCCAACAGCTGAAGTTGCAGTAATGGGAGCCAAGGTATGTTTTGCATTTTTTCTCCGAGTGTTTTTTTTCTTGTAAGAAAGTAGAAAAATAAAGCTTTTTAGGGTGCAGTAAGCATTTTATACCGAGGAGATAAGGCAAATGTACAGAAACACGAAGAGGAATACATCGATCTTTTTAGCAACCCATTCCCTGCTGCAGTGAGAGGTGTGTTTTCCTTTCGAATGGTTGATTGTATTGCTAATTTGGTTTTGTTTTTTTATCATCTCATGGGTTAGAGGTTTTTGACCTTTTCCAGTCTGGAGGAAATTGTTTTTTTTACAGGCTTTGTTGATGACATCATTGAGCCACACACAACTCGCAAGCGTATTTGCTTAGACTTAAACTTATTGGAGTCAAAGAAATTGAAGAACCCTAAGAAGAAGCACGGAAACATTCCTTTGTAAGCTTCTGAGCTGCCTCACTGGGAACATTTTTCGCCATCTCAGCACCTCTGTCTACTCAGTTTCACGTTCTGCTTTTAAATGTGTTGGAGCTGTTGGTTGTCAGTCTTATGGTTCTGGCTTGACGACTTAGCACTGTGACGTGCAGACTGTAGGTCGTACGGAAATTTGTTAAAAGTAATGTAATGTAATTGTTAACTGTTATTCTTTTACTTGTGTCATGGCTAAAAAATGGCACTCTTCAGTTAAAACCTGTGTTTAAGAACTGGTCTCATTCTTCCGGCTGCCGGTTGTAATTGTTCTGCATAGTCGTGTTCTGGTTTAAGGAACGTTAAAATTTCAAACTTAATTTTTTGTACAATTAATCTTTGGTTTATTGTTAGGATCTTTTATGACAAGGTCTGGTAATAGCGTTGTGGTCTCCATCTTCCTCGTTGTTGTACTGGTAGTTATTAATAAACTTGGTGAGGCAGGTTTGCTTAATAAAGGTGGAGTAGAGGGAAGAGACTTGAAGGTACTAACTGCAGTTTTTCAAACAGTCCTTGCAAGGGGGGTAGTGTGGGCGTTGGGTTTGGCGCTGGAGTTTGGGGTCGATGTGGCTGAAAGTAGTTTTGGTACTGTTGCTGTTGAGGGTCAGGTTTTTCTGGTAGTTGCAGGTTTGGGTTGTACGGCCACAAATGTTGCGGCTGTGGTGCGGTTCGTGACTGTTGTAGCGGCTGTTGGTATGATAATTGCTGGTTTTGTTCGTACGGTGCGACGGTTTGCTGATGAGGTAGTTCTGGAAGGTTTAGAAGAGCGGTGGGAGAGGGTTGTAAGATTGACAGCTGGGGAAGGAAGAGGTCGGGAGGTGGGATGGCTGTTAAGGTTGCAGGCGGTGGTTTTGGTTGTGATTGAGGTTGTGCCTGCGGTTCCGGTGTTGACATCGTTGACGGTACGTGGGGACCCTGAATAAGTCGGGGACGTTGGTACGGATACTGGGGAATGACAAAGTTGTCGACGAGGTCAGGTCTTGTTGTTGGGTCATTCTTGCTTCCTCTGAGTTGGTTTCCTACAATTGAAACTAATGTGGCTGTAACCGGTGTTCTGAGGACGGGGAGTTCGAAAGTGAGTCACTTGATTTTTGGCGTTTGACTGGGATGGAACGAGTTTTTCAGGAATTATTTTAAATTTGAAGTTGGGGATAGGTGCTTAATAGACTTACCAGCTCCTTTATTTGTTGGGGGATATGCTTGTTGTGGAGGGGAAGGTATATTCTGCGGTTGTATTGCGGTGTTATGTTCTCTTGGTGTTTGAGGATAATGGATGTCGTCTTGACCCATCATGAGGCCCCGCATTTGGTTTGATAGTTTGCTGCCCAAATATCTACTCTCTTCCGGAAGTGGCTTCGTGGTTGGGCTTATTGGTGGTAGCTGGTTGTACGGAGGCGAAGCTGGAGCGCTTTCTGGCTTGTTTAAAAGCGGAATATGAGCTATTAGCGGCACGGGTAATGTTTCAGTGGCGGTTGATTCTTCGTCATCACTTTCTTCAATTTCAGCTGATTGTTTGGCCCCATTTCGTTCTGCCTGAAAGGTGGGTGTAACAAAGGCTTCAAAAAGCGTATGGTTGTAGCAGCTTTATGCTAAAGGCTGAGGTCGCTTGCGTTACCTGTGTGCTGAAGGTGATGTTAAGCGTTGAAAAGTGATGAATTTTCTTTTTATCAAGTTTTTTAAAGTTATGGGTAACGTAAGCAATTTAGCTTTTTGAGAAATTCTGTTTGTAAGCTGTGAAACTGCCCAGTACCTCTAAAAGTTCGAGTATCTTCTCGTCGTCACCTTTTTCATTCGTAGCCGCGTCTTCTTCATCGTCCTCTGGTGGCGGGGTCTTGTCTTTTTTAAAAGCAATTGGTTCTTTTGCAATTTTTTCTGGTTTGAATTTTTGCATCTGTTTTTTCTAAAGTAAGTTTTTGATGAATTTTATAGGGTAGTGTTCAGACGGATACAGTTAATAAATAAATTTTTTAAATTGATTATTGCTGGAAATGCAAAAGGAAAAAATTTATTTTTAAAGGAGAAAAATTTGCAGTAATAGTTACGGTAAGTGGCTGAGGTTCTCCGACTGTCTTGTTTAGTGCCTTTTTAATCCAATAATCCATTGACTTCACAAACGAAGCTACTCGTTCTTCCACTAAAAGATTCTATAGAATAAAGTGATGAAGGATGATCTGTTGATCTGTCATCTTTAAGTTTAACTGTAATTAAATCTTAACATTTTTGCTAACTGTTCGGCTTTTTAATTGGGATTTTGAGTTTTATAATTGTTGAGAATAATTGTTGCTATAATCTTAAAATAAATACTTTTTTGGTCATTTCTGATTCAAAAAAATTTTTTTTACTATACTAATTTGGCACACAATGACACCCACTGACTAGAAGAGCACTGCTGAATAAATGGTTTAGCAGTACATTCAAAAACAAGTTTTTTTTTTTTTAAATAGTCCTGCCTTTGACACTTGGTTCATTGGGCGGTGAGAGACATGGAAATCGTCTGACAGTCACGCTGTATACTACTCTAAAAATAGTTTTTTTGTAAGGTGAAAGTTTTGTCATGACTCATTACAGTTGCTTGACAGTTTAGAAATTAATTAAGTTACCAGCTAAATTATTTGGTTTTATGAACTACTGCAGAATGATTAGTGAAACTGGCTGAACTTTATTCACAGTAGACCGTTTTCAAAGGCCAATTAAATGAGACATAATAAACGTATAAAAATTTTTTTGTTAAAGATAACAGTACTGAATTGCATGATTAGGTTGCCAAAAATTTTAGCTTTTGTAGATCACACGGTCTTGATTTTACGCAAACTTTAAAAGCAGTAATTTAGTTGTCACATGAGGAACAATGTTATGTTTCAAAGTATATGGATTTGATTTTGGTAGACACAGAAAAATTATTGATTTGTTTCGATGGCAGACGTTTATTTGTACGGAACTTACGTGTCATCTTCATCAACGTTTCTTCGTATGTTGGCGATGTAGTCGAAAGCATATTGGCGACGATTTTTGAGAACTTCTCCGCCAACCAGTATCTGCCCAGGTGCAACCTGAGCTGTACCTCGGTCGGTTGATAGTGATAAGCCGTCATATGCGCAACATTTCATCAAAAATCTAAATTTCAAACTCGATTTTTTTTTTTTTATAATTACTGGCATTTTTTGTCATTGAACTTTTACTAAATCTCAATTTCTTTCTTGTTTATTAACAAATAAAATACGTTTATTTTTCACTCAGTCAGTGAACAGTGTTTGAAAGTTGCAAACAACGATTAAGAAAAAAATTGATTTGTTCACTTGTCGAAGGTTGTCAATGGATTTTCAAAAGTGCTCATTAAAATTTACTCGAATAATCTTTCGCCTTCTAAATACACAAAAAGAAACTGTTTTTCTTTTATTTATTTATTTATTTATTTTTTTGCAGAAAGTTCTATTGTTCTACTTACGGAGCATTAGTGACGTTATATAACGGTGCAATACCACCAACCCACTGATTTGGCATGTCGCATGATGTACTTTCATATGTTGCTTGACATTCCTATGGCAAGTGTTGAAGATTACAAAAGAAAAAACCCATAAGAAGCTAAAAAATTTGTTAGTATGGGAACAAGAAATTTTAAATTTCATTTATTAATAAAAATTTTGTTGCTAGTTTTTTTTTAAATAGTCTAATAAAAAGGAAAAAGAGGTTTACGTTTTAAAAATATTTTTTGTTAGATAAAAATTATTCGGTGTGTTCAGTAAATGCAGCATAATTATAAACATTATTGTTTATTAATTACCGACGTCTGACTTCTGTAAAACTCGGATTTTGCAAAAACTTTCTTTTCTGAATCACCATCTCTCAGGTATCCATCATTCTTTTTCTGAATCCTGTAAACAGGTCAACAAATGCAATATTGAAGTCGGATGTTTGTTGCATTTTGTTTTCTGCAGCATAGCAGATTCATCAATTTGACTGCTAACAGTATCAATCAAACAGTGGCAACAGAAGTCAATAGAAATATGAAACTTAGTCTCGACTTATCTACGGCAGTTACCTGTAAAATCTGGCTGAATCGCCAGCCACTTCACCGTTAGCATTCCAACCAAAACAAGACGGTCGCGCACATCCCAATACCGGTTGACCATTAGATAATATCTAAAAGATGACCACTTCTTTGGTGCCAAAAAAGAATCAGTATATTCGAAAAAAAGTTAGCCAACAACATTAACGACGGTTAAGGTTTTTAAAGGTTTTCCGTTGCGTGTTTGCTGGTAAATTTTTGAACAGAAAAACACGAATTAGTATCGTGTACATTTGGTTTTTTTAGCGATAAGCTAATTCTCATTAATGTCTTCTGAAACAGGTAATTATTTTAGTGTATATGGCGGTCAAAAGAGAAGAAAAAAGAAGATCATTTATTTTTTTCCGGTCACATATTATTTAAGTAGCAATTTGCCTTTGTTAATTAAAATTAAATTTTATGGATCTTAAAAAGATGAAGGAAAAAAAAGAACAGAAGCAGAATAAAGAGATACAAATAGGCATTTTTATTGCTGGATCAAATCTTATAAACCTTTTACTTCATTCCTTTTCTTCATTTTTCTTTCTTCTCCGTTTTCGTTGTTGCTGTGATTTTTTTTTTTTTTT